TATCAAATTTTAGTGCGTCTACATACATCAAGATACATGTATCTAGGGATACATGAGGTCAAAATTAGGTGTCGTTTATTCTAGATACACCATATTCAAATAGATTCACATGTATTTAGGATATATAACAAATCTTGCTCGACTGATACATGAATCACACCACATAAATACATATTCATGAATCACACCACATAAATACATATACATGTATCTACTATGTATCTAGTGTGATTCGTGTGTATCTGGGATACATAACTATCTCCCTCTCCTTCTCGCTTGCCTTCCTCCCCATTTCGCTTGCCTCTTTCCCTATTTTAGTGCATCTAGTAGCAAACATACAAATAAATAATTGGAATCGTTCTGAAGATAATATGTATCTTTCTAAATATATGGTAGGAAACTCTTAATTAGTGGTAAAATATGTACTCCCTCCATCCCATTTTATGTGGCACTTTTTGGATTTCGAGATTCAAACAAGTCTATCTTTGACTATGAGTTTTTCATAGATCTTTTAAACATTTTGAATTATCATTTATCAATTATTGTGACTTATAGTACTTTTTACATAGTTTACAAATATATAAATTTCATTTCAAAAAAATTGAAGATTCTATGTGCCAATTTCCGGCGGTCAAACTTAAATTGTTACTCTCGAAAAATGAAAAGTGACACATAAATTGAGATAGATGGAGTAATATTTTAAAAGTATATGTGATGATAATAAATATGGTAGTGGAGTATGTATATATAGTTTATCTTAATAATAATTTATTTATATTCAATATACTAAAAATAAACCGTCGTGTTTTGCACCCTTAATATATGTACTCCCTCCATCTCATTTTATGTGGCACTTTTCAAATTTTGAGATTCAAACAAGTCTTATCATTGACCGTAAATTTTTCCTAGATCTTTTAAACATTTTGAATTATTAATTATTGTGATTTATCTTACGTAGTTTACAAATATATAAATTTCATTTCAAAAAACTTGAGGATTCTATGCGCAAATTTCCGATCAAACTTAAACCGTTTGACTTTCAAAAAACGAAAAGTGTCTCATAAATTGAGAGAAATTTTTATTTTTTTGTCATTTGCATCATGTCTTATTATTTTACGATATGATTCTCACTCTAACCTCGATAATTATTTCTCTGCGAAGTCATATTTCTAAAATTTTCCTCTAGGACAATATTGAAAAACAAATAATAGTAATAATAAAAATGACATACAAATAATTCAGTCCTCTTCTTTTCCACTAGTTATATTTTGGTTAATTTCTCCCCACGTTCTTCTTGTAAATTTATTTGAATTCAAAGAGGACCTTTATGGTGGAAAGATATGCTTATCGAAATTGGAAAGATTTTTTATATTATTGCAATGATTTGACTAATGACTACTTTAATTACAACAAAAGTTTGATAGCTTTTTGGGTTTCTTGCCACAATTTTTGGTGCCAGAATTGACATTTATGGATTTAGTTTTTCCATTCTTAATTCAGATGGCTTTAGGAAATTAAAGACAGCCTGTTATATGTGTGTAAAAGTAAAAGTTTTTTGAAAAATGAATATTTTTTGTCATTATAATAAAATTATTAACTATTCTAAAAAAATTTAATATTAGTATGAAAAAATTGGTCAAATTGTAGTTCTTTTATATTACTACTATTAAATAGGTTTAAAGAATTATTTTTAAAAAATTGAAATTAAAACAAGAAAGGTCAGTATAATATTGTAAATTATATCACGACTTTACTAACCAAACATTTAAATAGTTAAACTCATACAACCATTGCACATCAAATCCCTATGTCATTTTTAATTGTCAAGTACGAATTAAATATTAAAAAATAAATTAAATTAAAAAGGTCACTTCTAAAAAAATTCACCAACCATATTCTGCGTGTCTTTTCACAAATTAAGCACCAAATTCATTCTAAATAACTAAAATCCTTTGCCTTTTAATTTGAATTTTCAACCATAAATTCACAAACACAATAAAAGCCAATCACATTTAAAATAATTTGATTAGGAATCTACAAAAAATCATTTATTATTCTTCAAGCTTATTAATGAAGTATTTTATAATCTTTCAATATTCACTATGACCCACTTTCAATATTCAAGTTCAAATTTTGACACAAAAAAGAGGAGTTGCAACTTGCAAGGGGATCTTGAATTGTCGGGTGTGATTTGCAAAAAAATAAAAAAGGCTCCAATGTATTTACTTGCTTCTTAAAGAGTGTAGTCACACACTTTGTTCAACTCAATTATTTTTAATACCACGTAAGTTTGGTCATAGTTAGTGAGGTTTTGAATTTCATTTAATTTAAGCCTTTAGTTGGTAAAGTCATAAATAATCAAGGAAGGAACAGATTTGTATCCATATTATTTTATCAATAATATTCTTGTTTCTTCAAATTTTATTTATGGTGAATTTGTTTTCCGTATGTTTAAAATTTGTTGCAAACCGTTGGTAAGGAGAAATATTATACATGTATTTGATCTTGAAAAAAAAATTGACAATTCGAGTCAGGTCTTTGAAGTAATTCTGCTTTTAATTTATTTATTTTTTCCAATTTTTCCACGTAATTTTATCTAAAAAGAATAATTAATTATTTTGCAAGAAAATAAAATTGATTACTGTACGAATCATAAAAAAAAAAAGGCACCAAATGCAACGAATTCAACTAAAAGCAATAATATATATATATATATATACACGAACCTATCTCTATCTTTCGAAGCTGACTCTAGATATAGGACTCTTCAAATTCACACTAAATCAAGTGGTTTTGAGATTTGCCAACAAAAGAAGGATGGATAGCGGAAAGTAGAAGATGCCATTCCAGTCTAATTCCATATTTAATTTGTAAATAGAAAAAAATAAAAAAATAAAAAAAAGTCTAATTCCTTAACGTGGCCTCGAGAAATATTCTAGTCCTACTTAAAATTTGAGATTCACATGTCTCAATTTTCACACGTGCAATTTAAAAAGAGGAGGCGTCTATTATTATATCAATATATCATTTACTTAGGATAAATCTTGATGTAAAAGGAGATTCATTCCTAGTTGATGATGTGAAACTTTACACGTTCAAAACTTTGATATTTAGAGACTGAACAAATATAACATGAGAAATTTAACTAAAAATAGATTGTTTTAAACTTAAGCTTATGAAATAACTTTCAAGATAATGATTGCTTAACAGTTAACACAATATAAAAAATATTAATTTTTTTTTATTTCAGTTGATATCTATGTACGTCTTTAAATTTGTATAAAATTGAACAATTAATTAAATATATGTATTCTACATGACATATATAAATCAGTTCGAATATACTTCACTTGAATTGTTCAAATATTTTTAAAGTCATAAATATTAACTTAAGTAAAATTGAGAAGCATATTTATATTTTATGCCTTCTTTTTATGGCCATCATAAAACATTGGTGGTTCCCCACAGTGGCGGAGCCAGGAATTTCACAAAGGGTGTCCAGAAATAACACAATAAAAGCTCTTTTCTTGACTAGTAAGATTTGAACACACGACCACTACCTCATTTTAAGGAGGTGAAACCATTGGACTACAATAACTTATTATGTTAAGGATGTCCAACATATGTTATTTAATCATTTTGTGTACTATTTTTACTTTATAAATAATATTTTTTCCCGACATAGAGTGTCCAATTGGACGCCCTAAGCACCATGTGGCTACGCCACTGGACTTCCCCACCACTTTCAAAATCAGAGAAAAACGATACCCTTTTTGCTTACGGCTTTTGGTCTCTGTTATTTTCGGCCAATATTCTTTGACTAAAATAATCATGGACAAATATAGTATATAAACTCCGGAATAAAAGATAATGACACAACAACAAAAAGGATTTATATAAAAGGGATATAAACGCTGTATGTAGAATTTTTTAAATGAGCAATATTAATATTTAAAAAATTTAATAAAGCATTGTCTAGTCACATGCTTTCTTTTTATTTTGCTGTTGGAAGATAAAAAATACTTATTTTAAGAAAAAAAATTAAAAAAAATTAAAACGTTTGGTAAATCAATAAAACTTCTTTTAAATAGAAGCAGAAAACAAAATTCTGTCGTAGAAAAAAAGCTAAAGAATTCTGCTTTTCAAAAAAGGCAGAAGCAAAAATTTATTTTTTACAAGACTAAAATATCCCTTTCTTATTTACATATTTACCAATAAAACCTTATTAATTAATTAGCATATCTCATAGGTTTAATTACGTTTCATTTAACAATTTTATTTTTATATAATATTTTTTTCTTATTTTATATTTGATATTTTTAATTATTTTTAAATCATCATGTTAATAGTATATCAATATTTAATTTATTTATATATCTATGTATAGTATTGATTTAAAAATTGAACATGTACATTTTAATTTAATTAAGTAAATAAATGATTAAACTTTTTATAATAAATGTTTAAAATAATTTCTCTCTATAAAATAATCTTAATATTAAAAATACATTGATGAATGTCTTTTTTAGTAATTTGACTCTTAGAAGTAGTTTTTTTTAAAAAAATTTTTTTAGTAAAAAACAATTTAGTTTTTGAGAAGTAGTGATTTCTATATATTATGTACATTATAATTGTTTAGTCTTTTTTTTTTTTCATAGCAAGAATTCGGTATTTATTACTAAGATCACTTACAAGAGAATGGGACATATGGCTTATACCTCTTACCAAAATAAGTGGTGGATGCACATTCATGTTTATGAGCCCCATTACGTTTTGGAGTCAACACTATTATTTATTCATCGCTATAAATATTTAGTTTAAAACTTGATTATTAGGTCTTGTTGTTGAATTTCTTTGAATAAGGTTTAATAGCAATATATTAATCTTTAAATATTGTCAATGAAGCAATGAATGAATGTATGAAATAAAAAATTAAATAATCAATAATAAATACTTACTAAAATAGTAAAAGAGAGGTTCGTATTAATTCTCCTAGATCAAATGATGAAAATATGCTAAAGATCAGTAAAGATAAACTCAAGCCCTCTGGCTAAGGATGAAGCACTTAATTATCACTCTACTATAACCCTTTGTTGATTTTGATAATTTTTTGCTAATACAATAAGAATGCCAACTTGAATAACCAACAAAAGAATAGAAATGAGTATAATACAATATTCTAAGTTATTTTTCTGCTGGCAAGTAATTAAAAAATTAGCAAATCAGATTTTGCAATCTCGAATATACCCTTGATGCATCAACCCCTAATCTCGTAATTTTCACCTGCAAACATTATATTACAAGAAAAACATTGTTAATTTAGTTGTCAAAATTAACTAGCTATGTATATTATTTTCCATAATCTTTCATACTACTAATACGTATATATTCCATCTATATAATTCATACTTTAACTAGCACGGTATTTATTGAAAGCATATAAAAAAATTCGAATATCTACAATACCAATTTCTTTTTATATAAATAGACTAAAAAGAATTGTAAGACACGTAAATTAAAACATAGTGAATTACCTGAGCATGGATCGTATAGTAAACCTTATTGCCAATTGTTGAAAAATTAGCGGTAACAACTTGAGCTCCTTCTTGCTCTAAGATGATTATAACCTCTTGCATGGTGAACTTCTTTTGCAAGCAACTAACTAAAATGACCTCTATAGTTGAACCCAACTCTCTAACTTCAATCATAGGTATTTTTATAGTAGTACAAGATGTTGAAGGCATGAATTTATTTGAATCATCACTTGTACCTTGTGCTATAATCTTATCCTTCCTTCTCTTTAATACATCTACTCTTTCTTTCAATTTCTCAATGTAAGTAATGGCTTGATCAATCTGGTCTTGTTGCGTCACCATATCCTGAAATTATATTGTTTCACTTACAAGTCAAGGAAAAGTATTTGTATATATTTAATGAATTTTTAAAAATAAATTCAGAGTTTGAATCAAAGCTAATTACTAAAATAGGGTTCATACCTTAGTAGAGTAGTGGTGGTGGTGTGGAGGAATAAGAGAAAAGAGCTTAGAAGAAAGATACTTCATTTGAATTCTTCTGTTCTTTTCTTGTGTTTTCCGGTCTAGCTTTTCTAAACTAGTAGTAACAACGTTGTTGTTGTTTTCCATTTGATTTGTTGTATTTATGATATATGATATAAATCGATCATCGATTGATCTTGTAAAGTTTGAAGCATACGTTCTCCATTTATATATAGGAGATAGATATATTGAAGGATCGGAAAGAACAATGTGAACAAGATGTCCATATTATTGTAGCTAGCTAGGGCCCAACACTCAACATGCAATCTATGAATAAACGTTTGTATACCTACGTAATAAATGTTATGTCATTATTTATACATCATCATCATCATGAGATTAATCATAAATGTATATCTTGACTTTCAACATATACACTCTGAATTTGGAACTTGAATATTTATTTAATCTAATTATATTAATATAAATATATGTCCTCCGTGCACAACTTAAATCACATTTATTATGCTAGGCCTATCTCAATGACACCCTAATTTGTTGGGTAATGCTAACATTTTACCTCAGGCAAAACCAAGGTGAAGGGTGATTTTGGTAACGGCAAAAATATTGTATACCGTGTCAGTTAAAAGTGATTTGAGTGACTTTTTATATGAAATGATAAAAAAAAATAGAATAATTTCTCTGTTATAAAACAAACATTGTAATATTTTGATGTAAGATCTGAAATATGAATTATACGAACTTCATCTAAATCAAATGTTAATTAGATATTTAGATGTAAGATCTGAAATATGACATTATTGCTCATAACAAGCTGGAATGTGAAGATTCAACTTGAATATTTGCTGTTTATATAGACTTTAGTTTATTTAGAGAAAGTCATAATTATTAATTACCAACTATTTTCCCAACCAAATAAAATGTCACGTGCTTTTAGTTAGACAGTAAAATCATCCGTCCAAAGAAACACAACTGTATTTATAGCAAGTTTTATCGTGTCATTTCATTTAATATTTTGCACATAAGAAGGTGAACTAATATTTTGCACATATTGTAGCGTAATTTTAATGGAGTTGGGGTTGCGGGGAAGGGTGTTGGATATTATACTTAGATGTGATTTAGTAGAAAACTATTCCGTTCAACATATTAGGTATGAAACTCACACTATCAATAGTTTAGATATGAAACTCAAAAAAAGCAGACATTTTAAATGTGTTTTTGATACTTCCTCTCGAAAAAATGTCAATTTTTGTGTAGATCTTATACCTAGTTGTTTTGTCTCCACCAATTGATATTCAGTTAATTGTGCCATGCAAAGTCTTTTTAACTATCGTAATAATGGTAGTCAAATGACCTTTAAAAAAGTTGAAGGCCATAATTTGTTTTAATAAAATTTATGCTTATTTATTCCACGGTCAAATCCATCATGGCTTGCCGTTTTAGTAGCCTCAATTGTATTATATGCAATGAATACACACACTGTATACATATACGCACATTTGAAATCTCATTGAACCTAACTTAATTAGACAAAAAAGGATTTGCCAATTTCCCACATGTTGATAGTGTCTAGCTAGGGGAACCAAATGAAACTACATGGAGCCGGGGTAGAATTCAGATCATGTTCACCTGTATTTAATAGTTTTTAATTTAAATAACATATTTATACTTTTAAAAAAATTATCAAGTATGTATTTAATATATTAAATTAAAAATTAATTATTAACAATTAAAATTGTCATTTTAAAATTCAAAAACTCCTAAAAAAATAAAATTTTGATTCTAACTTTGTGTCTACCGGCAAAATGTGCCACATATATTTCAGTAAAGTAAATGATTAAACCATAACAAAAAAGTTGATGTTGACTATTGACTTAATAATTACATAAGATGCTTACTTCATTCCTATGATGTCATCTATGCTTTCTCTATAATAATAATAATAATAATTTTTAAAAATCAGATCCTTGTTACCATCACAATAATTTATACTGTAAAACTATTTTGCACGACATTTTTTAAACAGGATTGACACGATAGTGTAAACAACCAAATACCCTATTTTTTATTTTCTTTAAAATAAAATAAATCATTTTTAACTTTTTTTTTTATTTTCTTTAAATATCTTTACTTTCTCCTTTACTTTACTCATTTTATCTCTCATTCTAGAAAATATTTGTTTACATACATCCATATTATATATTTTCCCTAATTTATATTCCTTAATTCCATTCGAGTTTGGAATCATTTGAATAGTATTTTGTCTAACTGAGAGAGCTGGATTCAATAGCAGCCGGTGCCAGTCTATCTAGTGCATCTCTCACTGACACACACGACTTTTTTGGAAAACTATCTTGACATACATCCATATTATATATGTTATTTTTGTCCAAATTTTTAATTAATTACGTATTTTATTATTAATTAAAAAAATTCTATCATATGCTTAGAAATATACATCTAGATATACATATTGTTGCTATCAAATTCACTAAAATAGAAAGAGAGAGGCGAGTGATAGGAAAAAAGGCGAGTGAGATATTTATTACCTAGATACATGTGAATCACACTCTGGGCCCATGTATTTGTATATATGTATATAGTGTGATTCACATGTATCTGGGATACTAGATACATAGGGGAGTGGTGAACAAGGTGGGAAGGGAGGCGAGCGAGATTTGTTATGTATTCTATATACATGTGAATCCACTTAGATATATTGTATCTAAAACAAATTACACCTAATTTTGACTTCTTGTATCTCACCAAAACATGTATCTGGACGTATCTAAATACACAAAAAATTGATATGATTTATAATATCGCAAATTAACATATATCTAAATAATCAACTCCTAACCTAGTGAAATTTTGTTAGTTTCCCTACTTTTTTCTTGTCTATCTCAAAGCAAAAATAGTAAATTATAATACTTTATATATGTATATAAGCAAATACAAAAATATGATATATAATTATACTATATATATATATACTTAGCTATATACACATTATCAACAAAGACAAACCTACCATATTTTCTTAATATACACTTTGTATATAATTTAGTAACCTATAATTTATGCTTACTCCACATACATCTGTAAACCGGTCATCCTGACCCAAATGGAGATGTTGACTGCAATGCAGCCTTCCACATGTTAATTAGTTCCTAGTTAGGGAACCGGATGATACTATATTGCGTATAAATTCAAGTGTTCGGCGAAATTCAATAATTTTTGAGATAAATTTATATCTTCATGATAAATTTTCCATATTGATAAATTCATATCTTCATATTCCTTTTTATAATAAATATTTGTGATTACAAACTTTCAAATACACTTAATTTTATAAAGATTTACTAGTCAACAATAGTAATAACTAGCTATGCTTTAATATAATCCTTAATTCACATGACACGTACAATATCTTCACGCCAGTCGCTGAATATGAGTCCTTTTATTTTGTAAAATTTAAAATGATGAATCTTTTTCTTTTCTTTTTTTACAAAATATATAAACTTATAATTCAAGTTTTACATTTAAAAAAAATTGAAATCATAATTTGAATTCACAAATCTTTTTTTTATTGAAACATTTTTTGGACAATCATCATCCAAAATCACATATTTGAACACTAATTTAAAATTATACCATTTATTTGAATATACATCCATAAAATTAAAATGATTGTCCCTTTCTGCTACGTATCACTTCATACCAAAACAATTGGTATTATCAAACTCCTAAAACGTGCTACATATTTTAGTAAACCAAATAATTAAACAAAAAAAAAGTTGTATTGACCATTGACTATGACTTATATATGCAGCCATATTCGGCCTATATTTCAATTATGAGTGGTCACTCACTTAAAAAACATATCTATATAGTCAAGATTCTTGACTGAATAATTAAAATCAATTTTAATTTGTTCATCTATTTTTAGTTTGATATATAAAGTTCAATAAAATAAAATTAAAATTATAATCTTAAATTAAAGATATGTTAAAATATATCAAAAATATCATTTAATTTTATAATCTTTTAAACTAAAGATATACAATGTATAAAAATAATTTTGAATCATGTGATCTTTAAATATACACGTGGAAGAGAGTTAGTCAGATGATTAATATTCATCATTTTTAACCTTAAAATTGTGAATTCAAGTCGAAACAGAAAGTGCATAAGATGGTTACTTCATTGCAATGACGCCATCCATGCATTCTCACAAATCGGATTCTTGTTGCCATCACAATATTTTATTCCTTCATTTAAGTTTGGAGTCATTTGAAGTTAGCTGCATAGTAGCTGGAGTCGATAGCAGCCCACGCACCACTGCTGACTGACACACTATTTTCTTTTAAATGAGTTTATTTTTATTAATTAATTAGGTGATCAAACAATTGTGATATAAAACATGGTTTTTTCGTTTGTATTTTATTAATTTAGGAGTTAATTAATTAGATTTACTTTACTTTGTAATATTACATCAGATTTTGTTCGTTCAGACTTCGGATATATGAGTTAAAATTAGGTGGAATTTGTTCTCGATGCACTGTCGATCCAAATGGATTCACATGTATTTGGGATACATAACAAATCTCGCTCACGACTGTCCTATGCATCTAGTATCCCAAATTTATGTGAATCACACCAGATACATGCAAATACATGTATCTAGTGTGTATCTAGTATGATTAACACGTATCTAAAATAAATTACACCTACTTTTGACCGCAAGTATCCTGAGATACATGTATCTGAACGTACGTAGACGCACCAAATTTGGTAAGATTCATAATATTACAAACTAGCGTGCATTTAAATATGGCCACTAAATATGTATTTTTATATTAGCAACAATTAGCACTTTTGTAAATGTCCCTAAAGCAGATATCGTGACATTAGATCTAATGACAATTAACTAATGTCGGTAAAGACTTTACCGCTCTTTGTTAATGTGTATATTTATTACCGCTCAAAAATATTTTTGTTATAATGTAAACTAGTGGGATTTTCACAAGTTACCCTATTTCAAAGTAGTGGATAAAATATTCAAGAGAGATTCCAAGACTGGCAATTTACCTAAGGAAGACCTACGCAAATAGATCCAATTGTGAAACTATTTACCCAAATTGGACCCAACTCAACCCTAATGGACCCATGAC